CTCACAGTTTCGCTTGTTTTGTCATAACGACATTTAGACAGGACCTGTTGGAAGTTGTCATGGATTGTGGTTATATTATGACACAATAGACGATGAAGCCATGTTATGCACCTGGTCTTTATTCTGCATCAGCTACCGGAAGACACATGACATGCAAGGGACATCACCCAAAACATTATAAAATATAAGACTAATACAAGAAGAGTGAGTTCCTTTGAATTCACAAAGCTCAATATATTACAGAAGTTAGTTTCTATTGGATGGGAGAGAGAAAGAGATAGCGAGAAGGAAAGAGAATAGACTGTTTTTTATTTAGTTTAAGAACTTGTACTCTAGGGCACACGAATTAGAGTTCATCTTTTCTGTGACCTAGGCGCATGAAGTGATAGTGTACTCATATATCTAAATATAATATCTTCATTCGTTTATTTTAATGCACTTAGATGTCTGTATAAATCCTTCACTTAATTTTTTACTTTCTCGTATATACGAAGTATAGAAAAAGTATTGTAATCGTGCAAAAAAAAATCGAGATTTTTACAAATCTGGACGTTTTTCACCTCACTGATACGGAAAAACATAATTTTGCAATCTTGTCCGTATGTCTGTGTGTGTGTGTGTCTGTGTTTGTGTCTGTGTGTAAACACGATTACTTGAGTATCGTTACAGCTAGGTTGATGAAATTTTATATATAAGTATTTTATCAAAATCGTAGATCCGTATCAACTTTTGAGCGATTTCCGATAACCGGAAGTGGTACTTTTTGTACTTTGAACTTTTCAAAAGCCTATAACTTGAGTACTATTTCAGATAGATAGATGAAATTTCACATGTAAGTAAAATATCTAATTCTCTACCTTCTTTCAAATTTTGAATAATTTCCGTTGACCGGAAGTACTAATTTACGCTATTTCCGATTTCTCAAAAAACGCATGTAAATTTATAAAGTACTAATAATATTGCGCACTATTACACACGTTCGCTTGGTGAGCAATTCTTTTTTCTATGAGATTCTATTCTATTTTTAAAAGTTTAAGTAATTAAAAATCATGTCTACATTCCAAGTTTTATAAGAATATTCGAGAAAGTTTAGGGGAGATCACTCCCGGTTTATTTTTTACAAAATCTCACTATCATTTTTATCTCACTACTATTATGGACACTGTAACAATTACTTTTTAAAAAAATAAATGGTGTTTTTGTCCCAATTTTGTACCCAATTCTTCTTCGTTCTTAATTTTAGTGTTGAAAGGGATTCCCTCTGCCACAACTAAGTACACGAGTCAACTGGTTATGCGCCCGTTTTTTTTTTTTCGTTTTGGGTCTGCTCCCATAGCTTTTGCCAACCAAGAACAAACTACAGTGAAACTGTCACCGGGTGTTCGAACTCGAGACTTACCGGTTGAGCAAACATGGGCTTTACCGACTGGACCACGCCGACCTCCTCAATTACTTTCAAAATGAGATATTTCTGCATGGTCACAACCGGAACTGACCTGCTAACTAATATAAAGTTCAAATTAAAATTGGCCGAAAATTGAGGGACACGTTAATTCAGGAAATACAATATGTCTGATAAATCTTAGCAAAACGAAGGTAAACATATTGAATGACCAGACACACACGAGTTTAACAGCTGGAGCCGTATCAAGTCTTGGCGAGACCGCGGTCTATTTTTGTCTACTAGGGTTTGCCTTTCTGAATTAATCATTGGCAGGACTATCGAGTGTGTAGTGATGTCAGAGAACACATTGAACGAGTTGTTCAAGGCTCACCACTAAAACTTATCAGCTTGTCACAACCCCCCCCCCTGTCCTTCCCCCCACCAAAACTTATCATCTTGTGTTATTACTCCATGTCCCTTTGCCACCTGAACTTACCATTTTGTCACATTACCCCCCCCCCCCCCCCCCCGCCCCCCGTCTTCGTCCCTCCCTCAATGCCATCAGCTTAGCACACATTCGATTGAAAATAGGGTAACCCGGGGTAATTCCATACACTACTTTTCAAAACAATTTGTAAAAAATCTAAAATTAACACTACCACAATATAATATTGAGGGTATAACTAGACATGCATTACTTATATGATAGCAAACAAATATAGAGATACTTCTCAAAATAAAATACAATTTTTTAAATATTTCACTTTTATTGCAAAAACATGGCAAGTGGGGTAATTCCACACACATTATGAAAATTTTAAAATTCATGTATTTAAAAATTTGTAAAAAACATTTTTCCCCTTGGAAACAATTTTGCATGGGGGCAACCACTCTTCATCACTGGGTGAGGAGAAAGCCTAAATTTCTTCCTCCTGAATTCTGCTCTCATCTGTCATAGGCCGAAGTTATTCGTTTATAATTGTGGACCATTCTAAAATAAAAGCAAAATTAAATGTTAGAAAGTCTAATTACTAATGTGTGTATGGGGATGTTTAGCTCTAAATATTGCATACATTATAATAAATAATATAGGTACAGTAAAAATAGTAATAGATAAAGAAATAAAAGAAGTATGTGGCAAAGTTACATAACTTTAATAGCAGTCTTTTTAAAAATAAATAGTGCTCGATGTAGTACTATTTAAGTATTTTTTAGATTAAATCATGAGTTGTGAATTACAGAATTAGCCACAACCCGTTTAAAATGGTTTAAAATAATAGCTAAACCCTCTAAAGATTATAAAAAGCAACATGGAACATTCCAAACTATAGTGTGTGGAATCGCCCCACACCTACTATTGAAAAAAATATGCTTTCCTGTTCTAAATTAAAGGCTGAATCTAGCATCATTAACTGTTACTATTAACAAAAATGATTAAGCTTTCAGAAAATCAATAAATAATTGACAGCAATTAAAAATAAGACAAAATAAACTCTTTTTAAAAAAGTGCAGGGGTTGTACTTACGTAAGGATGTTTGAAGATAGATGCAGATAAAATTAAAATTCTTGCTCTGATTGTAGGTGAACGCTTCTCTAACAGTATCAGAAAGTACAAGAAATGACCTCTTAGAAACAGGGAATAGTAACTTGTAATTAAACTTTACTCCCATTAAAAATAGAGAGTATCCAGTATATAGTGTGTGGAATTACCCCGTGTGTGGAATTACCCCGGCTTACTCTACACTGTATTTTAAAATAATGTAAAACTCTTTATTATGTTAAAATAAGAATTTATTTCAACCATTTACATAAAATATTATTCTAAAACAAAATGTCTTACCCTGCAACCCGGGCAAATTAAAACAATAAAATCATAGTCATTAAGGTAATTACATATAATGTATACATTATTCATAATAATTTAATATATACATTAGCCATAATAATTGACTCTATACATTATTCATAATACATAAATCATAATAATTAAACCTTTACACTATTCATAACACTTTAATCTATATACTAGTTATACATCTTTCAAATATCAACCAAACATTCATCAACAATATAGATCTACATCGATCGTATAATACATTATAAAACCTCATGCCTAAAAGACTAAAAAAAACACCCTTAAAAAAAGCTCGAGAAAGATTCCGTACATATTCTCGTATACTCTTGTGTACAATTTCGCTTTCGTTTTTATCTTGTACTAGCCGTCCCGGCCAGGCCCTGCTCTGGCTTCTGTGAAAAACCTTTCTGTTAAAGACCATTACCTGTGTGTTTAGTAATCATCATAAACCCGGCATTGCCCACCCAAACCACAACCAACCAAAGCCAAAACAACAAAACGCAAACATAACGCTAAAACAATTACAAATACAAACGAAAACAAAAACCTAACAACAAACCCAACCACAACCACAAACACCAATACAAACACAAAGAAAAAACAAACAAAAAAGCAAACGAAAACAAAAACCTAACAACAAAACCAACCACAAACACCAATACAAACACAAAGAAAAAACAAACAAAAAAGCAAACGAAAACAAAAACCTAACAACAAACCCAACCACAACCACAAACACCAATACCAACACAAAAAAAAAACAACAACAAAAAAAAAAGCAAACGAAAACAAACAAAATCCAAACGCAAAATCAACCAAAAACACAAATACAAACCCAAAGAAAAAAGCACAAACAAAAACGAAAAAAGAAAGAACAAAAACGAACCAAATCAAAACGCAACCACTAACGCAAACCCACCTAAACACAAAGAAAACACTAACGCGAACATAAACGCCCAGGGCGGAATCACCTGTTTTAGCTTAATGAATGACTATAGTACCCCAACTTATTCATAGTCTTTTGCACTCACTTAAACGAACGCGCCTGTTTCAATTTAATGAACAATTATAATACTCCAAGCTTATCCGTAAAATACCTACAACATTTGCACTTTATCAATCCCCGCTAATTATGTAATAATTTTTTTTCCCAACACCAAAACAAAGTAATAAAAAGTAAATTCTTTTCCACTAATGCAATGGTTTTATAAAGGGAAGTAATTGTGTTTTCCTAATTTATCAAAGGGAAGTAAGTGCTATAGGACTAAATAAAGACATAATTAGAATTTTTGTAAAAGATGATATTTTTTTAAAACGTGTTTAATGAACATGCCGAAAATTCTTACTTTCAGTTTGATAAATGAAAATTGTTTCCCAAAACTTTCAATATTAATTTTTTAACTCATAAATTTAGACCACAAGGACTTTAATTATCTAACACTTTAATCCATCGAAGTATGTCAACGACAAACATATGTATTTTTACATACAGAATTGAGCTTTATATATTAGATTGTCATCTTGTATTGGTTAGATGGTTGGAACCATGATATTTTTGTGCACTGAATAGGTTGAAATTCTAAGAAAATTATATTGATTTTATTTACAATATCTGTAACTATAGCTATCGTAATCTTTTATTATAGAGGTTAGATTTATTAAAGAATACTTGGTTTTAAACAATGAATAATTTTATCTGTGCATTGGTTTTCTAGCAGTCCGTGAGAACTAAATGACATTTTTAATTAAAAGAAACGTGCATTAAAATTCAATCGGACATTTCTGTTCAACAATCCAACAAAACAGAGTTAAAATGGCGCGAACATCTTGTGATAGGTCATCCGTGCCGTTGGGTAACCCAGAAGTTTCTAGATCTAGACGATGTAGATAATTGTTTATATTCTCCATGAGATCGCCCAGCGGTAATGTCGGGTAACTTGCCAAAGATGGCGTTTTGTGTAGACAGTCTGCTTGTCTTGACAAGACTTTCACTTTTGGCACAGGCTCCCGACGTTCGTGCAGGCGGAGGGTAAAATCTATCAAAACTTTCTGAAATAAGCTGTCAAAATTGATTTCATTTTAATTAATTATTTTTAACGACTCAAAGCACGACAGAATATGTTAGTTTGATGGGGATGTGGAAGGAAAAATTATTTAAGGTATCTTGGTGGATTTTTTTCAAAGGGTGCTTCTGTCCATTTTTTTTATTTAAAGGGAAAGATTTCTGAACCTGTCGTGTTCAAAGTTTGTAATTCTAAAACAAAGAAATCTTGATACCCACCCGTTACCGCCAGCCGACTCCTCATCGAGTAGAATAATGACCAGCTTTGTGGCGCACAATTCGTTTATCAGAATCTCATAATGTTCTCCAAAATCTTGGCAGCCCTAAAATTCACACAAATACATTTATTTCACATACAACATAAAATAAACTGGGAGTGATCTCCCCTAAACTTTCTCGTATATTCATATATAGTATATAGCAATAATGTTTTGGGCTAGGCCCTAAAGAAATATAAACTTTTGTGACAAATCCGATAATTTTGTTTTAAAGAATACACATGTAGACGAAAAGTTCTTACATCATGCTGCTTTAATCAGTATGATATAAAATTATCACAGGCAGGCAGGCAGACAAACACACACACTCACACACACGTACATACACACACAAAGAGATACATACACAATTGAAAAACTAAGTTGTTTAGACTCAGTGAGTTGTTATGGAGGAGAAAATTCATAATCAACTCCACATATCTTATATTTTTCAATGGAAATGTTGTTAAGATTGACAACCGCTGGGGGAAGGAACTGAAGGTCTGCGACTGAGTCAGTTCGTGGTAGCATGGCCATGAAATGATTCACCTGGTGAAGTATGAATATGGGCTCTCGCCCGTTTCTTTTTGATGAATCAGTTTCCACCACTTCTGAACTTCTCCAGGTGGCTTGAGAGAGCCACTGTAATAACTCTTTAGAAGATAAGTGCTGTATTTCAGAGAATTGGTGGAACTGTTGGTCAAGACCACCTATCCTAATAATAGATCGGTCAAAAACTAAGGCAGCAGCATACGCTTGGACGTCGCCGGCCCAGATGTAGTTTTTGAAGCAAACATAAAGATGATCCAACCTATGAGAGAATTCTCAGTGAGTCATCTGGATAAGCTTTTCATGTACTGTCGCATTAAGCAGCAGGTATGATGCTATGAGCAAGCGAATGTTCTGTGCCTGTGCTTCTGATTGAACCATGCAGAGAGACAACGCGTTATAGAAACAGTTACCGTCGGCTCGTGTTTCGCATACGAAGAAATGAGATAAAAATCCGTGGCATATTCCTTTCCTGTAGTATCCCTTAACTTCATCTGCTGCCAGTGATGGGTCATATTTTGCTCTAGCGTGAGTTCTTAGGCGAATAATTTCATGTTGGATTTGTACCTTGCAAGGACTTATTACACTCAAGAGGTTTTGCAATGTTTCATTTTTAATATCAGCACTAGCACTATGGAGATCAGTCTCAGATGTGCTACCTCTCTTTCTATCAAAATAGTTGAGAATAGTTTGTACCTGAATAAACAAACCTTGAAAGTTCGATACGCATGTTGGAGCTTGAGAACTGTTTGCCGACAGAAATACGTTTAGTTTAGAATCTGATAGTGTACACATTTCGTTTGATTTAAGGTCCTTGCAGGTGTTAATAACGTATTTTTCAGAAGGTATGTTGAATGGTGGTCTTAGTTCATCTTCAATTCGCCTTACTGTTTTTGGAGGAGCGATCGTGGTGATAGAGTCTGGTATTTTCTTTTGGTAAGAAATTTTATTGTCATTGAATATAAAACATACAGGCTTATGGTAAGAGAAGTACGTTTCATACACTCCAGCAAGGACTGAAGTTGTTGAAAATATGACGTCTATTTGTGTATTCAAATCGGTGGTTGGGATTTCCAATGGTAAAGCAGATGTAAGTTTATACTGCTTGAAAAAGTCATGCAAGTCACTACTGGCATTGTTTAAGATGTTGAAGTTCAGATCTCCAATCACAACAATTTCTTCAACAAATTTGACCTTACTCAATAACGTATGGAAAGTTGTTCGAAACACACTGATTGGCGTGCTAGGTGACTTGTATCCAGTAATGATGGTCATTCTACAGATAGTAACCGCATATAATTCTACATGATAGTTTGTGCCAGTTTCAATACTGTCATGTATGACATCACTTACACCACTAAGACTGTGTTTCGCGAAACAAATGATACCTCTAGTACCACAGTGTGGATCACTCCGAAATAACACTTTATAGTTACCAAGGACAAATTCTTCGGTTTCAGATGCCAACGTTTCGGAAAATATCAGTAAGTCGCTTTGAAAATACCAATTGTCCCCTTTAATGTATTGTAATTTATTCGTTAAAGAGCACACATTCTGATATGCTACTTTGAATCCTGTTGAGTCTTTAAATATACGGAGTGGCAAATTTAAAGACTTAGCTGTCCTTAGTCTGTAGAGCTCTTGCAGGCTTGGGTCCTCATGCGTCGATTGTTTTGGGATCCTAAAGTCTCCAACAATGTACAATCCTGTGATGCTTGAAACTCTGCTTAAATCTACATACAGCAAAGGCCTTGTTATCCTTTTTATTTCGTTGAAATCTAACGCCACCTGTTCATATGTCTGTCCTTGGCTTTTGTGAATGGTAATTGCTTCTGCGGGTACCATGGGGAATTGAGTTCTTAATGTCGGGTACTGAAGTTTATTTGAAATATTCAGCGGAACACAAACCTTCCTTATGGGCACTAAATGTGAGTCAAGGTTATTGTCATCTATGAGCCGTTTGTGAGCCATCTTTGCCTTATTACCAACGTTGTGTGTGGAGAAATCTAACCAGAGTATTTTTGGTACTTGGCTGTCGTCATTATCGAATGTTATCAGCCTTAGGACTCCGCACGCTCCGTTAACGAGACCATCTTCTACGTCAATGTTCGTTGTTATAGCATATTTTATTCCTAGTTTTATAATGATGCTGTGTGGTAGGCCATTTACTTCACTTAATTTTTTTTTCTTTAGTCCCTGCAGTATACTTTCCTTTGATGCCTCTGAGAGTTTTCCTAAAATGGAATCTTTAGCAGTGGAAATGTAATGTGGTCCCGGGTGACTTTTAATTCTTTCCTGGTTATAAATATCGACAAATTTATTTTCACCGTACAATCTGATTGCGCTGTTTGGTACTGCTGACGGCGACACTTGCCTAGACTTGAACAGTTCAACATGTTTTTGCACCATGTGTCCACTCGCTAATGCATTCAGCGCTTCAATAAACTCAATTTCATTCTTTTGGCGCATTATTTGTTTCAATTCGTAGAAGGTGAATAGATCCCAAAGGGGATTTCGATCCATTAATTCCCAAAATTCGTTGCTTTTGTCCACCTTATAAATTAGGGAATCCATAACTGGTGGTAGCTGGTTCAAATCTCCGACAAGTAAAACTGATATCCCTCCAAAGGGTTTGTTGTCTCCCATTATTTGGCGCAAACGAGAGTCAACTCGACTGAAAAGTGTGCTTCCGACCATAGAAATTTCATCGATGATCAGTAGTTTAATGTTGAATAATTTTTCCCTAATTGTATTGGCAACTTCTGACGATAACTGAGGCATTGAACCACCAAATTGAGATATGGGTAATGCGAAAGCAGTATGCAGGGTAACACCTTCAATGAGGAATGCAGCTTTCCCAGATGGTGCACACAATAGAACATAGATGGAGTCTCCCGAAGCACCTGGCTGTGAATCAAAATATTTTGTTATGGATTGATAAAGGCACCTAATGACTGTACTTTTTCCAACCCCTGCCGATCCACTCAGGAAGATATAGAAGGGAGTTTTTCTCAATTTGAAGGAATTGAGGATGTGGAAGACGAAGTCCTTCTGTCCCTCGTTCAGACGGGAAAACAAGCAACATATGTCTTCATGTGGCACTCTATTCGGAACACTGTATCGATTTTGATTCTTATTAACTGGGGTTTCCTGTCCTCCTTGCTGCAGAATGTCCACATTATGTTCTGGTGAAAGTTTTTCTTTTATAAATTCGTAGGCTTCCTCTTCCTCTATATCTGCAACCTGTTGTTTGGCATTTTCCAAAGCATCATCTAAAATTTCATCTGCAATTGCTGAAAATTTTTTCCTATTATCCTCTATCTTTACCACACTGTCTCTGTACAGCTGCTCACAATTGACTTGTTCTATATCTTTTAACTCATTACGCCAAGGCAGAAATAGCAGTAATTGCTCTCGGAAGTAATTTGATTTGTCCTGCTGAAGTTTGTACCGTCTGTACCTTATCACGGCTGGTTTCTTCTTACGCCTGTACTCTTTTGATTCCTCAAAATAAATTTTATCTTCATCAAATTCTGCTTCCCTCCTAATCGGTACATACTCAGATGTAAATGTTGCCAGGCAAACGTCTTCTAACTGTTGCGGTCGTTCACTATATTTTTGAAATAAGTCTTTCATATAGACTTCTGTTGAGTCTTCATTTAAACTTTGAAGTTGTGCGTTTGTTTTTAACATCCTGGCTCTTTCCAGCCTAGGACTGGTGTTTATGTATACAGTTTTGCGGCTACATTTTGACAAAGGCATTGACAAGGCATGATATGCTGCTTCTTGGGCGGACATCAGGTTGCTATTCAGGAAAACGTTTGCGATCTTTCTAAATTTCTCCTTTACGCTCTTATTTCCTTTGTTGGCATCCGACGCTGCATCACGTAATATTTTTGATAGCCCACTATCAATTTTACTCACATATTTTACAATATAGGAAGCAAGACCATATTCTTCTAAAACAAATTGTAGGTCCATATTGGACTCGAAAAGATGCAGGATATCTGGGTTGTACCCATTGATATTAACTTCTGTGCTCTTTCTTCGTAGATACACTTGCGGCCTTTTAAGTGAGCTCCTGAGAACAGAAATGTACATCTCTTCAGACATATTCAAAGTCTTAAGAATCTCTTCAAATGGTATGTCATCTCTGCTCTTCGAATAATATACTATTAGCTTTCGAAGTGCTGTCAATCGTTCTTTGAATGAGTCATCAATTTCATCCTCGGCTAATGGCTCCAGTATCATTGTCTTCGGCATAGCGGGCATGGGGAAGTTAAATCGACACTTGCTTTTATTCCTTTTTCCTTTGTAGCATGTATGAGAGTGCTTGTGCATCTGAAGCTGCACAAACGGATCGTCTTCTTTATACTCGCAGGTGATAAACTTGTCAATAAATCCTACACATTCCTTAATGGAATCAACATTCTTTGAATCAAACACTGGGGTACCTGTAAGCCACAAGAAGATGTGTTCGTGTGGAGATCCTCTCACATGAAATTCGATTCTTTCAT